GGGGGCGGAGAGGGGAGGGCGGGGAGGAGAGTGAGGTGAAACGAACCACTGGCGAATGAAGCAGATAACATAGGTAGATGGATAGGGGGTGGAGGGGGACTAAAGCGGGGTGGTGTGCGTTTGTGTTTGTGTTAGCTGGGTTTACGTGTCGGCAACTTGCCACCTGCGTGTATGTGCGTGCGTGTTTCTTGCTCATGTCCTCCAATGATGTACGGCATCGTTGAATTCCGGCAAGGCAAATTCCACCCTATGTCATACATAGTGACGCATACAGACAGACAGACAGACACAGACCATCTCCCCGTCCCCCTCCCTCTTCCCCCCAGGGGCAAGGGCGGTCGTATCCAGGGCAACCTGACGGGCGTGTTGGCGGTGCTCAAGGGCACTCCCACCACCTACAACAAGGACTTCCAAGAGTGCTGGGAACTGCTGTTCGACACGGTCGACACGGTGCATGATGTCGTACGCATTGCCACGGGGGTGCTGTCCACCATCAAAATAAGACCCGAGAAGATGAAGTCGGGTAAGGCAGGGAAGGGGGAGGGGAGGGGTGGATGAGTTGGGTTGGGGAAGGAGGGTGGAGGAGAGGTTTGAGGAGGCCTTTTCCCTAGGAGTTGCCGCCGCCGCCGCCGCCGCCGCTGTAATTCACTGCTACTTCTGATCTGCCCCACCCCACCCCACCCCCATCCCCCTCCAATCCCGCAGGTCTTTCCGCCGACATGCTGGCCACCGACCTGGCCGAGTACCTGGTTCGCAAGGGGGTGCCCTTCCGCGAGACACACCACCTCAGTGGAGCCGCTGTCAAGATGGCTGAGGACCGCGGGGTGGGGCTCAGCGAGCTGCGGGTGGAGGACCTGCAGACCATACACCCGCTGTTCACGGAGGACGTGGTGGCGGTGAGATATTAGAGAGGGAGGGGGCGAAGAAGGGGACGGGGGCAGGAGGGTTGGGAGGAGAGGGGAGGGGGAGGGAGAGAGAAGAGTTAGGTAAAGGAAGGGTGTTAAAGGGGAAGAGGCCACGGGCGTGTGTTGCTAGTTGGTTCATGGGGGAGCTAGCTCCTGCTGGTGGCCGTAGTGCTGGGGGGGCGGCTGCCTCTGCTGCTGTTGCCCATCCATTCTAACCCCATGGAGAAGCTATTTTATTTCAATTTTTGCTGCCTTTTCCCGGACCCGTGTCGCTGCTGGTGCTGGTGGTGCTGGTGGTGCAGGTGTGGGATTTCAACCGTAGTGCTGAGATGCGCGACACTGAGGGCGGCACCAGTAAGAGGTCCGTGCTGGAGCAGGTCGCCAAGATGAGGAGCTACCTGGCGCAGGAGCAGGCGGGGCCAGCGGCCCAGTGAGGGGCTGCGCTGGGAAGGCGAGAGGTGGTGGTGAGGAGGAGGAACACGAGGAGAAGGAGGAGGGGGAGGAATGAGGATATGTTGGAATGTGGGGAGGGGTGGTAGCTGTGGCCGAGTGGAGGGAGGAGGAGGAGACGGATGTGGTGGTGGTGGTGTAAGGGCGGGTGAGTGGAATTGCTGGAGGAGTGGGAGCGACATCGTGGCGGCCGAGGTATAGATGATGTGGCGGCTGCAGCGCGGGAAGGAATTTGGAGGAGCGGTGGTGGGGAAGGTGGAGGTTCACTAGGACTGTGATGCCCCTCTGCTCTTATGCATAGGTGGATGCGGCAGCGCTCGTACACATGCATGCGCGCATGCTTGCATCGTCAACACCATTGCGTGTATGCCGTGTGCTGTGTGTCGCACGTTTCTGTGGCTGTGGGTTCGCCCTTGGGGAGGCCGTGGCCTGAATGGGGACCCGGGAGGGCTATGCAGGATGCTCGCCACGGGAGCTTTGTGCTCCCACTGCACCTCCACTTTCACGCGGTTGGGAAAGGACTGTGGTCATCATCGTCGAAGTGTGTGAAGCTCCTGTTGCGGACAGTGCGTGGCCCGCGTATGTCTCGTCGTCGGACTGATGTCGCGAGCGACCTACACGGTGGATGCGGGTGGTGGGGTGGGTGGAACTGCGATTCGCTAAGAGTCCTGTCCTACTCGCTGGCGCGCGTATGGGAGGGCCGTTTCGTGAAGTTGAGGCGCATCATCATCATCATCATGGTTGGGTGCCGACACTGACGAGGATGGCTGGTCAGCAGACGGACTGCGGAGCACGGTCCGAAGTGAATTTCCTATTGGAAAGAACATGGAAATAGCTGCAATTTCATGCAGAGATGCAATCTATAATTACATATCAAAGAGCAGGTGGCGGCTAATGCACGGGACAATACCTCGTTGCTAAAGCCCCTCGCGCTTTTACCTCGGCCGTTCGACCACGTTCGACGGCTCTCGGACCGACACGAACACATCAGATCAGTCGAAGCCTTGGTTGACCGCTGTCAACCATTCCCTGGAGCCCTCTTTACCTTTACCCACCCACAGGGAAAAAAACGCCTAAATTGCAATAGAATAGAATGAGAGCTCATATTTTGCTGAAGTCAGCATTCAGTTTTTCGTTACACAAACTATCATTCGAAAGGGTGTGAGTTTCCACGCTGTAAACATACACCGAACTGCATCCGCCGCGACGGAGCTAAAGCTGTGGGATTTAAGTCTCGCTGCCAACGACGTTGTTTGTTTCTGTCTTTCCCCCACCTGTACGCATCGAAGTAGCAAGCTGTATTACTTTCACAAGATGGCAGCCCTGCACGCCCGCACCCTCGCCGTCGCCGCCGCTGCTGTCTTGGTGGTCTTCCTGTCCGCCGCTCCCTCGCTTGCGCAATTGCCCGATAAGAACCAATGCATCAGCACCGCTTCCGCGCAATCCGGCAACGTCAACGTGCTGGCGCCGTGCGTGGGAGGCCCCTCGGTGAGAGATCCAACACCCACTCACCCACTCGCTCACATTCACACAATCAGAACAGGTCGGACCTCTACTCGCATAATCCAGCTGACTTTTCAATTTCCTCAATATTCCTTCATGTCTCTCGAGGCGTACAGAAGCTGTTGTAGCCTTTAGAAGGGGAGACTGGACAGGGAATTTGGGGAGGAGGGCGAAAAGTGAAGAAAGCGGTTGGAGGCATCTTCCCGTCAAGCAACCACGCGGGTAGCTGTGCACTGGATGATGGCCTGCAGTAGAGCAGAGCAGCACGTGAGGTCTCTCCCGTGCTCTCCGCATTCACCCGACGCCTCTGTTTTGTTTCAATCCCGAACCCGCCTTTTCCCCTTCCCGCCATTTCCCCAACCACCAGTCTTCATGTTGCAGCACTGTGAAGGGCTTTGCGGGTCCCGGCGCCCCGCTGGGCTACTGCCTGTGCTACCCGGATTTGGAGGAGCAGCTGCTCTCCACTGTGGAGAACGATGCCACCGCTCGGCGCTTCGGTGTCACACGCAGTGCGGTAGTGAATGTGTGAGTGCGGATGACCGGACATGCAGAGATCTGGACAGGACGTCCTAGGACGTGACGGGCAGGATGGGCCCGAGGGGAGGAGCGGCTAGGATTTTGAAACCAGGACGTGGCCAGGCGGGGTGGGGTCGCACTCTTGAAAGGCACGTGTGTCCATGTCTGCCGATGTTGTGGTTGGCCGCTAGTGCCCAAGGTTAGGCCCCCTCATGACCGAATTTCCGTGTGTATGATTATAGCCAACGATTCAGTCTCCGTGCCGATGGGTTGCTGTAAGTGTGGGGACATGCGTGGGGCAACCTTCAAATGTACAATGGCTGGCTGGCTGGCTGGCTGGCTGGCTGGCTGGCTGGCTGGCTGGCTGGCTGGCTGGCTGGCTGGCTGGCTGGCTGGCTGGCTGGCTGGCTGGCTGGCTGGCTGCGTTACTCTTCCCATCGAACAACCAATTGCTCAATAAGGAGGATCCGTTCTGCGTGGTAGTAGCCAAGATGCAGCAATGCTCCATTACTGCCTTCCATAATTTTAAGGTTGATCCGATTCTTGCACGCTCTTCCGCCCCTTCTTCCGCCCCTCCCGCATAACAGCCTGCAGTCCTGCAGCGTGCCCTTCGCCTCGGGCACTGGCGGCGCCGCCTGCCCCTCGGGAGCCGCCGTCGCCGTCTCCGCACCGACCACAAAAGTCGGTGTGGCGCCTAGCGGAGCTACCACCGTCAGTGTGAGTGCCGTGTTCGTGTCCTTCCCCGTTGTCGATGGGCAGGGATTGGCATCGGCCTCATGGTCGCCAGGACCGTGAAGGGCATTTAGGAATGGCCGTGTGACACGGCCTTACTCTCGTTGTGAGCGCGAGCTTGTTTCGGAAAGGAGGAAGTTGAGAACATGTGTCCAAACCTGCAGCACAACGCAAGAATACGCAAATATGAAACACCTTGCAATAGCAGTGCTGACCGTTCCCTTCCTACCCTCGTGCTGCTTGCTGCCTGGCCCTTGAAAATCACGGGGAGCATAGGTCGCCGCGCCGGGGGCTCCTGCACCAGCTGCTGCGCCCGCTCGCGCCCCCGCCCCCGCCCCGGCGCCCGCGCCCGCCCCTGCACCTTGTGCTGCACCATGCGCTAAAGGGCGCGGAAGGTTCAATAAGGCTATCGGCTCGGTGTTCGCTCGCTACTGCCAAAATCACCCTTGGCATCCAGCCTGCAAGAATTAGAAAGGATTACGCTCGTTTTGAGGAGGCCTGGGTGAAGAGGAGGTGTACGTATTCGGGTGCTGCTGCCTGGGGCCCCGGCTGAAGTGCTCTTAAAGCACGTGTCGTGGTCATTACGTTGAGAGGTTCCTGTTACTTGGGAGAATGCATGCTGTCCCAATTCTTTCGGCGTGCTAGCTCCCGGTTTTGTAGGGGAAAGGACGGGCCAGTCCTGTTGCAGAAAGTGTTGTGTGTGCAGGTGGTTCATCCGAGGGAAGAGGTGGTGGTTGCGGGTAAATATGTGGCCCTCGCTCGTAACCTTGCAGGAGGACGTCTGCGTCGCTGTGCAGGGCACTATCATGAGTTGTACACATAGACATGCTTGTACACGTGCCTGTAATATAAAGCACCTAGCCAGCTGTCCAGCATCTTAATGACCCGTGTGTCAGTGTTCATCGGATTCGTGTGAGGCTCATTGTAAGCATGGTTGTCATCAAAGACAGGTCTTCTGCAGAACTCCTTATACTTCAGATCCTAAACAGCACCCCTCTTCGAGCAGTCACAATTGTGTGGTTGTTACAGTGGGCTCCGGACTCACGAAGAGTAAAGCCAGCTGGCCAGCTGGCCGTGCATTACTGCACAATTGTGTGCGCGTGTGTTGTGTTGGTTACTGCGTTATACCAGCAGTACGCAAGCCACTAACTAAGAACAGACAGCACACGAATTTCTCAACGCACTGACAGACACGATAATACAAATAAAACTATTCTTCCGAAAATCATCCGGGCAGCATCCAGGACATGCATCACCATTCCGGTTCACACAACAAACGTACTTTACAGGCCACTTTCTTAACGCCACCATGCCCGGGTTATGCTGCCATATAAGTGTCCCACGTCTTGAACATCGACCCAAACAATGAGCTACCGCGCGGAGCCACCTCCCCGCCTTCCTTTACACCCACCTCACTGCTACAGTGCCCCAGGTCTGCCCTGCCGGTCTGCCTGACCGCACAACTGCCTGCTTGCATGCGCTGCCCAGCCTGCTCTGCATGCCTGCCCATGCCCAAACACCAAAGAACGCGAGGAAAACTTAGGGTAGTCCGACGGCACCAACAGCCCCGACAGCCGCGACCATAGCAGCCCCCGCTCCATGGCTTTGTTTAGCCCCAGAGAATGCCGTACGAGTAGAACGCGAAGACCAACCCAGCCACAGGTGTGAGGATGAAGAGGGCCCCCACCAGGGTCAGGATGTTGAAGGGAGAGCCCTTGTACTCGCTGCCATCCCAGTTATCTCTGGCGGTCAGGAACGTGAGAACCAATGTGATCAGCAACGATGTAAGCTCGGGGAAGTCGTCCGACATGCAGGGGCTTGGGGGATGGTCAGGAGGGTGAATCACGCGCGCGCGATAATGCGATATTGCTAATTGCCAATCTCCACGCAGCGAGGCATGGAGGCCGTGGTGATAGTGGTGAGGATGCGTTTGAAGGTAGCTAAAGCCCAGAATGCGTGGGTTTCAGGATATGGGGTCAGTTAGGGCTGCTCCTCGCTGCAGCATGACACGTCTCATGATGGCAGCGCTAATAAAATATACATGTAGTCCATCGGGCCCCCGGGTGGCTTTGACGGACACCCCCGCATTCGTGCGGAACTTGTAACTCGTAGCTTGCTAATACTTGAGGGCAAACGCAGCAGCCCCCGGTCGCCATTCGTTTGCCCGCCCGGGTTACAATCTGCAGGGCGACGGTGTGCGGACAGAGCGAGGTAGGGCGACGGTGTGCGGACAAGAGCCGAATCCGTAACCCTCGCCAGTTTCACACAGTCCCGCCATGCACCCCTCCCGCTATGCTCCACATGCTATCTCGTTATGCCAGATTCGAGCGGCTTACGTGTACAGGTCCTTGCGCTCCTTGCCATTGTTCGCGATCAGGTTTGCCTGGCGCCGGTACTCTGCGAGCAGTGGGCACAGTTGTGGGGCTCAGACCGAACCCCTGCAGACCACATGGCCTAACCAATGTTGACAGTGCGTATGACACCTCCTGCCGCCAGGTGAAGTCACAACCCGAGTTATGATGCGCGGGTTAGGTGGGTAACCGCGTTCCTGTCCGACTTGAATCCCTGTGAGTTCGCCCTTTAAAAGGCTGAGTTTAGGAATCGTGTTTCTGCAGTGGGTACCCGGGGATGTGCGGCCCTTGGGGATGTGTGGCCCGGGGAGTGGACCTCAGCGAACCCAGTCCAAGGTCTGCTGCTCACCAATCTCCTCCCGCACGGTACGAGGGCGCGCGAGCTCGCGCGTCTTCTTGTACCAGTCGTTGCCATACTCCAGCGTTTGGCCGCCCTTAAGTCCTTTGCCGGTTGGGGCTTTCTTGCCCGATGTAGCGGACACGACGAGAGCAGTCCGCCGAAGGCTGGCGCCTGCGCAGCACGCGCAACCATGGCAAAAGCATCGCTTTGATGGCTAGGACGCGACCTCAATCAGGGCCAGCGCCTTCTGGATATGGCTGTCGCCCCAACTTACGTGCGCACGCGTAAGGAGCACTTGTGCAATTCATAGACGTGGCCATCTTGATGTATATCTGCTGCAGCTCTATGTTTCCCCACGCCAACATCACGAACTTTCAGGCTTGTTGCAAAACAATGCCGTACGGTAACGGTGGACAACGAAATGCCGGTATCGTCCAATATTGTCCGCTATCTTGTCCTAACTGCAGATACTCTACTTATGACTGATAACAGTATAAAATTAAACGCATAGCTAACCCTGTTGACATAGAAGGGGTACCGAAATGGGTGGAGGACTGAATTTCCTTAATAAGAAAACATGGCATCCAGCGCGGCCGCAAAACCTAGAGGAAGTATGGAAACGCGAGCAGAAGGCTGCTGCGGAAGCCAAGAAGGCCGAAGAGCTGCGCAAGCAACTCGAAGAAGAGCGCAAGCGGAGCGAGTTCGTGCAAATGGCTATGGACACGGGGCACTTAAGGTTGGGCGAGAGCACCAGACTGTGGATCCCAACAGAGGCACTCACGCATGCCGGGTTGACGATGCAGGAAGGAGGAGCGCCTGGACTGGATGTATGGAAGTGGACTACAGGCAAAGCAGGACGCGGAGAAAAGGCGGGAAGACATGCTTACGGGGAAAGCTGAAGTGGTTTTGCCTCCGGAACAGCGAGCTCAGGAGACAAGCAGGGTACGGGCATACTACATTCTTTTTGCCATCCGCATGCACATGCCCCCTTCAGCCGCTTCCCCTCTGAACATTTCCCCCCCCCCTTGACACCTCCTAGTCTCTGTTCACCCTTGTTGCCCGACCCTACCCGACCCGCAGGCAGAGCAGGTTGCTCAGCTGCCGTCATTCTATGCATCCGCCACCCCAGCCTCTCAGAACGAAACGTGGCTTCGGCTCAACAACGACCCCCTGTTCGCGGTAAGCAAGCCGCACCCTTACACGTAGCGCAGCCCCACGTAGTGGTTGGCATCAGCGGATGGAGGGGCGGCACACCGCGCGGCACGAAATTAGCGGCGCCTCCCAATTACAACGTTTCTTGAGCACCTGCACAAGCATTATCAACGCCTCGACCGTCCCCACATAGACCGGGGCCAGGTGGAAACCTCTGTGCGCTCATAGTCCTGCTACGCAGCTGTTGCCTTTCGCGTCTTGAAGCGGTCTGGTGGCGTGTTGTTGGAAGGAAGGCCGGATGTGTGTAGCGGGGAACGGCCGGCTCCGTACGACGGAGAGAGAGACACACACACACACGCCCCTCCCTCCCACCCCGCAGCTTCAATCGCGTGTGGTTCGTCTTTCCCACCCGACTCTAACCCCTGGGCAAAACGCGGTCGTTCTGCACTTGAAGGAGCGCCGTGGCCCTGGCATAGGCGGATATATGGCAGGCATCTGGCACTTGTGGAGTGTCATGATGAAAATCCGAGCGCGCTAGGTCCCCTTCCTTCTGCGTGCCTTTCCTTGGATGCCCAGCGCACAGCCACGGCGCCGCCCGCCGCTCAACACCGCCCTCCCGTTTGCCTCCATGCCCTCCTACAGATCAAGAGACAGCAGCAGGAGCAGCTGTCCAAGCTGAAGGAGAACCCCATCAAGATGCTGGAGCTGCTGAAGAACCTGACCAAGGTAGGATGGCGAGCACATAGTTATTATAACAATGGGGGCTTCTGCTTCCGTGCCTGGCAAAGGTGCGTGGGTGGCATTCTTCTCCTACGGACCTGGCATGGGTAGGGGACTTGACCATGAACTGGACACCCCAGACTTTACAAGAGACGAAGCACACTTAGCGAGACTTGGGCAGCGGGGTGCAGGGGGTGCTTATATGCGGCTGGGTTGCGGGGCGTCCTCGCGACTACGTGGCGCCCCGGGGAGGTTTCCTAGGGGTAAGAGGAAAGCACTGAAGATATGTGGGGCTGGGAAGGAAGCGGCTGCGGCGGAGCCGAGGGGAACGTGGCCAAGGCTGTGCTGGCAAAGACCAAGCTAAGTTGGGCGGGAACTTTAGCAAGAAGGGCGATAACCAGGAACAGGCGTGTGTGTATGTGTGTGCTCTTGAGGAGTCCGCGATGTTCTCATCCCTGCAAAGCGTTTTCTGCGTTTGCCGCCACTTACTTACTGGGTTGTAGGAAAAAAATTGTTGACCGCGGGTTCAGCTGGGCTCTTGTGGTGCATCGAGGGTGCTCTTGTAGGTGGCTTGGAGCCCCAAGAGCTTCGCTGTGTGATCCCTATGCGCTGTCGCTGCAGGCCAAGGAAAAGGAAGACAAGAAGAAAGAAAAAAAGGAAAAGAAAGAAAAAAAGGAAAAGAAGGACAAAAAGAGCAGGAAGAGGGAGCGTGGCAACGAGAGCAGCGACGATGATGCCGGGGAGGGCGATCGCAGGGCGGCTAAGCGCAGCAGGTAAGGTGGGGTGGCGCAAGTGCCTCATGGACCTCTGGGATCCTGTTCGACGTGGTGTGCGGCTGCAAGAACTGCATCTCAGCACACCACTCCCAGCACCACCTTCACATGTACCCTAAGAACGACGAACGCCCGGTCTCTCCGTATTCGCTGCTGCATGCGCGTCGATGCTGCGGATGTAATAAGACAGCGCCGTGGCTGTTTGCTTGGAAAACGCGTTCCTCCGTGCCTGGGTCGCCTCATGGCCATGGGCTTTCGGGGCGGGGGCTGCGGTGGCTGCGCTTACGACTCCCGACCTGAACCGCCGCCCGATCTTCTAGCTCCGTGAACTTGGTACCATGACGCCCCGTGCACTCGAAGTTCGGTTTGTGCGTGTCTTATCCCTTAAGGTCGCCATCCGCGTCACCTCCGCGCTTTGGCTCCGGCGGCCACGAGAGGGCAGCCCCGCCTCGAGGACAGCAAGAGCACGGGCAGCTCCACGGGTATGGCCAGGGGCTGCAGCGCCCGGCGGCTGGCGCTGCTGCGCGACCTCCGGCAGGCCGCGAGGAGGACGATGGCGACCGGGGCTACAGACGCCACGAACGGAACCTCGAATTTGAACGAGATTGGGACCGCGGAATGGAGCGAGCGCAGGACCGCGAACGGGAGCAGAAGTGGGGCCGGGAACGGGGCCCCGAAGGCGAATGGGAATGTGAACGGGACCGCGAGCGGGAGTCCGAGCGCAAACGGGAGCGGTACCATGGTTGGGACGGCGGACGCGGCCATGAACACGAACACGAAAGGGAGCGCGAACGGGAACGAAACCGACGTGGTGACTACGAGAGGACCCTGCAGCAGGAGGGGGAGAAGCGTAAGGACGGTGGGGAGGGGGAGCGCCGGGACGGCGGCAGCGGCGCAGGCGGAGGCGGCCGTACGGCCCCAGAGACCAGGCGTGAGGAGCGGCAGATGGACGACAGGCGAGACTTTTTACATGCCCGTCCACTATGTGCACTGTAGCGCTGTTTGAGGGGGCCCGGTGTTTACTGTGCTTCCATGCACACGAACTGTACCGCGTCTCCCAACTTATTTCTCCAGCGCCCGCAGCATTGGACCGGCCGCGCAGGAAGGACGCGCTCGCTTCTTCTTCTTCCCCACTTCGCCTGGAAAGATGATAAGAGCTTATAACACTAAAACGCGTCCGGCGGTGTCGCCTCGCCGTGTTGTATTGCGTTCTGCGGAAATCTCTGCACTTGGAAACCTGCGGCCGTTGCTAGGTCTGCATCATTATCTTCCTTTTTGTCTGTATGTTCGTGGTCCCGGCCTTGCAGATATGGCCTCAAGCAGTCCTCTGCGGCACCGGAGGCGCTGCTGCAGGCGAACAACAGTAGCCGCGCTGCGGAGACGCGAGCTAGGTTAGAGGATGCAAGGCGCGCGCGGGAGGAGGAGGAGCGCGCCAAGGCGGCGCAGCGCTGCGTGCGTAAGGACTACAAGACGGGCCAGATCACCGGTGAGCGTGGTCCCTAGGGCTAAGGACCGCTTTGAGGTGGGCTTTAGGCGCTGAGTCGCGAACTGGGCGTAAGTGGGTGTGGGTATGGCTGCACGAGCTGGTACGGGGGATGGGAAGGTGTAAGGGTTTATACCACGGAAACGGTGGGGGAAACCTGGTCGGTCCTCGTAAAGGAAAGCACACAGGAACGCGGCGGGGCTGGCAACCAACCCCCCTATCAGTCGCCGTGGTAGGCTACCTGAATATTCTGCCCTTGCTTCTTGACTCCTTGTATGCTACGGTCGGTGTTCCAGCTGAATACTGGACTCTTCAGTTACTGACGTTCAGAAAGACCAAACAGAAGGGGTCCCATGCGCCTTATCGACGGGTCCCATGCGTTCGTTGTTCTAACCGTTGCGCCATTACCTCCCGACCACTTGCACACGCACCAGCGTTATTTTTTTGCGGAATATATTCCGAATTCGGAATAAAAAAATGTTCGTGGTCCTGAAAGTTAAGAATAAATAACGTTCCGACCGTGCAAGTTCATTCCTCCAGCCAAAAATGGACTGTCCATGCCAAAGCCGCTAGAATCTCACAGGAGACATACATGTTAACCATATCATAGTACTTTAATGCCATGGATACTGCTAGGAAGCTCACGCCCGAAAGTCAACGAGGAATCGGACTGTTTCTGACCGGACCAAACGCTGCAAAACATTGACCCGAAGCTCCCAAAGCGTGTTAGGTCATTAAAGCAGATATAAAAAATCACTGAAGCCATTAGCGACGTTAATGAAGACGGTATAGAGGTCGTAGGGAATGCGGGCGCAATGCTGCAGCCAGCCGACGACAATGACGCCACTCCGGTTGTCAACAGCGAGCGGGCCAAACATCAACGTTCGTCAAATGGAGACAATCGCGATGGTCCAGGAAACAGGCTGCGTTTGGTGGTCC